CAGGATGACTATTATAAAAGTATCGAAGGACAAGTGGCGTGGAGAATGTGGAGAAAGAGAAACACTTGCATACTGTTGGTCAGAATGTAAATTAGTTTGGCTATTATGGGAAGCAGCACGAAGGTTCCTTTAAAAGGTTAAAATCAGAACTACCATATGACCCGCAATCATTTTTCTGGGTAGATGTTCAAAGGAATTAAAACCAGCCTTTGGGAGTGAGGTCTGTACTTCCGTGTATGTTGAAACACGATTGACAAGGACCAGGTTGTGCTGTCAGCCTAAGGACTCGTCAGCTGACAAACAAATTAAGAAATTGTGTGTATAAACGCACACCAGAATACTATACATCCTTTAAAAGAAATGTGTCACTTGAAACAATGATCAATATGGATGATACTATGTTAAGTGAAATAAGCCAGGCAGGCATGGAAAGATACATACCGCATGGTACCTATCTCTCATACGTAGAATCTTAAGCCGCTGAACTTGCAGAAGCAAAGAGTAGTCCGGAATTGTGGAGGAAGGACAAAGGGGGAAATGCTCATCAAATGGTACAGACTTCAGATGGAGGAGTAAACTCTAGAGGTCTGTTTAACAGCATAGTGACTACACTTAATGTATCATATACTTGAAAACTGCCTTTCAGTGTTGTCATTACAAAATGATAAGTTTGTGAGATGAGGAATACACACAACTTCAGGCTTTCTGTGTGTGTGTATGTGTGTGTGTGTGTGTGTGTGAGAGAGAGAGAGAGAGAGAGAGAGAGAGAGAGAGAGAAATGGGGAAGCAAGGCAGGGCTGGTTAGAGGTTAAATTTAGTGTCTTCTTCCTTTGCTTATCACCTGGGTTAGTGCGGATCAAGACAGGCTAGTGAACCTGGAACTTGTCCAATAGGCCGCACGGTTCAAGCCTCTGGAATTCTATGTTCATCTACCCAGTGCTGATGTTACAGGCACACATGTGCCACCACACTTGGCTTTTCCATATGAGTACTGGGTGGGGAGGGTTGGACTTGGGGCTTCACGATTGTGCAGCAAGCATGTTCCCCACCTAACCGTCTACCCAGACCCACATGTTGTCAATTAAGGAACAACAAAGGACTAGGGAGACGGCTTGGTGGTTGAAGCACTTGTAAAAGCATGAGGACAAGGGTTCAGATTCCCTAGCAGTCACACACATCCAGGTGAATGCTGCAGACTGTCTATAACCCCAGTGATCTCCAGGCAGAGCCAAGGAACCGCTGGAGCAAGCTGACCAGCTAGACTAGCTCAACTAGTGAGCTGTAGGTTCAAGTGGAAGGGAGCTCTGCCTTTGTATGTACAGTAGAGAGTGGTTGAGGAAGACACCTGATGTCAAGCTCTGGCTTCCACATGCACCCCAACTCATGCAGACATGCACATCCATGTATACGCACACCACACACAAATAGACACACATTTTAGAAGCCGGGTGTGGTGGCCCAGGCCTTTAATCCCAGCAATGGAGAGGCCGAGGCAGGTGGATCTCTGTGAGTTCACTACCAGACTACAGGCCCAGGTTCCAGGACAGCCAGAGCTACATATAGAGAGACCCTGTCTCAAATGAACAAGAATTTAAACAATAAAGAGAATGGAAGAGTAGGACAGTATGGGTCTGTGCTTGAGAAATATTTAGATGCTGGCCAGAAAATGGGAAGGGAGAGAGAGTGGTGGACATCATTTCAGACAGAAGGGCTAGTGGGAGACATAAACACTACTACATACATCCCAAATGAGTGGCTTCTGGAGAGCAGGCACTGCCGCCTCCCAGCACCTAACGTGCATTTGATATAGACAAATTCAATCCCTGTCTTAATTAGCTGAGAAGGCAAATGATTCTTTAAACAACATGACATTCACAAGCTAAATCAAAGAGCTAACATAAATATCAACCTAAAATTCATTCTTGAAGTGTGATAGGCCTTTCGGAGAATTTATATAAGCAGTTACCACATGGAGGGCAACTTAACATCTTTCTAATGCTAATTTTAGCATCCTTAACTGAAAAGGGTTGGTAATAAAAGCTAATTGTAGTTGTTATTGTCGGGTAGATCATGGAAGGAAAATGGTTGCTTGCAGCTGCAAATTGGATTTTCATAAAATGTCAAACCCATAAAAGTGTCACCTCTACAGTATTCCTAAATATTAAAAAATGAAATTCTGAAAATGATGCAGGTTACAGCTGTTTCAAAGAGCGACAGTTCACGTACCTGTGACTTACGAGAAGTCCCAAGACACTCACTGACATTTTCTGACCCATGTTCACTGACAGATGCAGGTGAGATGAATGTGCGCCCATCTCCTGCAGGCCCCACCCTGGGAATGCAAGACCCCCTCCACTTTGTAAGCAGGTCAGCTACTGCTCGGGGGTTTTAAAGCTCACCCACCCATCAAGCAAGCACGTAAAGGTTTGAAAATAAACCTACAGAAAATCAAAGTGTGACCCTAAATATTTTGGTGGAAGAGTAAACATGTAACATCATGCTTCCTTTTAGCAAAATAAACCCAAAAAGCAAGTAAATAGAAATGAAATAAGCAGATGAAATGTTTAGAAGCACAGCCAAAGATCTGGAGTTAAAGATCGTTAAGAGACTAACTCTGATTATAGCTTGCACTGGATTTGGGCAAGGCAGTGGCTTTTTGTAGTTCAACTTACATGCATTTTGGACAACACACACACACACACACACACACACACACACACACACTCTCTTCTGTTACAGGGTTACTTGTAAAATCCATTAACAGGCTCTACACAGTATCCTCATTTCTGTTAAATTTTAGCTAAATATGTTTTGTGGACTGGTGCTTTATAAACAGTCTTGGGGTGATGCACAACTTCTAAAATGATGTGCACATCTTGTTTGGTTAAAAAGCAAAGCCATGCAAAATATGTATACAAATATTCATGGCAGTGCCATTCATAACATCAAAGCAGCAGAACTGCCCAAATGGCCACCAGCTGACTAGTGGGCCATAAAATGTAGTGTAGTCTCAAACGTGGGACCTTCTTTTATGAAGATGAACAGAGGACCAGTGAGATGGCTCAGCAGGTAAGGGCGTTGCTGCCAATCTTGAAGACTTGAGTTTGATTCCATGTGCCCAGATGGTGAAAGAGAACTGACTCCCAAAAATTGGGACTTCCAGCCCCAACAATGTGTGCCTTGGCCTGTAAAACCCACAAAATAAGTAAAATAGAATGTAATTAAAAATGAAACGGAATAAAGTAGTGATACGTGGCATGACATGGATGGGCCTTGAAAACTTGCTGAGTGAGAAAAACCAACCAAATATACACAAGAAAACATGGTCATCAAACACACCTGTAATCCCCAAGCTCAGGAGACTGAGACAAAAGGATTGAGAGTTCGAGGCCTACCTAACAAAACTCTGGCTCAACCAAACACAAAAGCTACCAGAGCCAGGCATGGTGGCACATGCCTTTAATCTCAGCACTTGAAAGGTAAAGGCAGACAGATATCAGTATACAGAAAGAGTTTCAGGACAGCCAGGGCTATACAGTGAAACCCAGTCTCAAACAACAACAAACAAATAAACAAACAAAGGCTACAGGAAGCCACGGTTCTGTTTCCGTGATATGTTGAGAACAGACAAACCCATTGAGAGGGAAGTAGTCATTGTGGAGGCTGAGGATGTGGGAGATGCGGAAATTGGTATTGGGTTTCTTTTGGGGATGATAAAAATATTCTTGAATTGTATAACATGGTGTGTATACAAATCTGATCATAGGATAAAAGTACTTTGAAAGAGTAAATGCTACGCCACGTGAATGAATCATATGTCAATAAACGTACTATGAAGCTGAAGAAAAGAATATTTAGCTCATGTGTTATGAAGGAGGAATAAGTGAAATGATATAAGTGAATGGTCTAGTCCACAGCCTGGCATAAATATTAAGAGAAGAGTCAGCACTCACACAGGACTCACTTTGTGACAGGCAGTCTTCCCAGATCAGTACACATCAGTGCATTTAATCTTCCCCACAAGTGCACAAAGCAGATACTGCTCTGGGGCATCTTCTAGATGAAGATCTCGAGGCCAATGCAATTAAGTAATCTACCTGAAGTCATACAACCAGTCCATCAGTTAAGGTGATCTTTGACCCCACTTCCCTGCTCTAGAACTTTTACTGGGCCACCCCACTGTGCAGGTGATCTGGTCTTAGAGATTGAGGTTGTAATTTCAAAGCAGGCCTGGGAAACAGATGAATTCTGGGAGGATAGGAGGGATAGAGAGAAGCCAAAGCAGAGGCTGGGCTCAGTGGAAGAGGGGCAGCGGAGACGTAGAGCTTATGGAGGGAAGGTGGGAGAGCTATCTGGGTGCAGAGCAAAAGAGAATGTACTGCTTGCAGAGAAACTAAACACAATAAAACTCAGAGTTCTTCTCCTGTTTAATAATAACAAATGATTTTAAACCCTGCGAAAAGCACAGCCTTGCCTGGGATGGTCTGGTGTAATTCCTGCTCCACAGCTGCCTACCTCTGGGTAGATTCTCATCACTGGGAGAGGCAGATGGGGAGATTACAAGGGAGGGACCCGGGTGGTGAAATCCAGCATGTGGCTGGGGGCAGTGACAGGTGGCTGAGGACGAGCAGAGCTGAGCCGGTGCCGAGGGAGAAGGGGCTGTGTCAGTTGATAAGGTGGTGATAAGCGATGACCTGCTCGGTGGCTTTCATCTTACCCAGTGGATGTGCTGTCATGACCCAACCGGATGGAACCAGATGACTGGAACCAGATTCTTGCTGGAACTCCGCAAGTTTCACTTCAGTTCCCCTCAAATCTGTGCCTGCTTCCCATCACGCTGTTCTTCTCAGCCGTCTCTTGAGCATGTTTCCCTGCGCCAGGCTTTGTCCTCCTGGAGAGCAATGGTTGTGCTTTATTTCTGTCCCAGCGTCCAGTTTGGCAGATACTCACACACTAAAGGAACCGATGCATGAGTATGTTGCCCTCCTTTTCTTTTATAGATACCTCGGGTCTCCTGTGATCAGGCACAAGCGCATACAGAATGCTCCTGTTTTCTGTCTGCTGGGTAAGCAAAATATGGTTTGGTCCCTTTTCATGAGGCGTGGCTGTTGGGCCTCTACTCCATTCTGAAACTACACGAGTGCAGAAGCAGATGGGCAGATACCCGGTCAGCACACTTTTCCCCTTAAGAAGACCATGGAGCTCTATCTACAGGAGCTCTCCTGTAGATCACTGAGTGAGGACTGTTCCCAGGGGTGAAAGCCATCAGCATTTTACTGCTGTGTAATGTTGTCGGTCCCATAGGAAAAATGCCTGGGTGTTCCTTTGAACTGAGTCAGGTATCCTTGAGTCCTCTCTGCCACATATTAATTGGGATCCTACTCAGCACCTGACTCTTACCCAGGACATCCAAAGGAGTTGTCAGTTCTTCCTAGAACCATTTCTAGAAAGTTCTTTAGGACCATGTCTAGAGAGACTTGAACCTTCTCCATGTCTTCCCATTCTTTAGCAATAGAAACCCTGTGGGTTTCTGAGTACAAACTTGCCTCATTGGGCTGGTGGAGGAGATCAACGAAAAGGTTTTATCGAAACCTTAGAAGTTAAGACCAAGAACTTTTGAAGGCAACTGGAAAAAGCCAAGGAAGATGGAGGCTGTGGAATAATGCTATGCCTTGACAGCAGTTGTGGCTCCTAGAAAACACAGATGCCTGTAGAATAAGCAGGCATCTACACCATCTGACCTGGTAGCATACAACCCCGAGGCTAAAGGACAGCATCTCTGTTACTGCTGGAAGTATATTGACTGCAGGAAATGTGTAGATGACTGTACTCGATATTTGGTTCAGCACAACCCAGATCCAGTTGTCGGCAGGGAGCTCGTCTCTATGAAGGAACGAGGCTAGCCTTGTAGCGATAGCTGCCAGTAGGATTCACCATTCTTCTTTACAGGAAACGTTTAAATAATTGAACTCTCTAATTGGGTTAAAGAGATCCATAGCTCATGGGTGTTCTATAAATAAAAAACTGAGTAAATAATATAGTAACCTTCCTTTATGGATCCTGCACTTAAAGAGATCATTTTGGTTTGTTTGTTTGTTTGTTTGTTTGTTTGTTTTGAGAGTGGGAGGGGCTGGTTTTAAATGGTGTAAAAGAGAGAGGAAGGTTGGTTTTGGATGGGCAGGCTCTTCCATGGAAATCCCTTTCAGCTTGTCTCAGGTACATGCCACCTTTTCCCTCAGATCTTTTCATTAGAAGTGAATAATTTGTTTATCCCTGCTGAAAGTGGGTAATCTCTGGGGTTTTGCTTTTAGCAACTAGAGTCAGACAGAAGAGTTCAGCCAAGGAGCTGACCTTCGCTCCCTATCTGTGATCAGAAGGGCTTAAGTAGCCCAGGGCCTCCTGAGAGAGACCCAGGGAAAGAGGAAAATGCTCACAAAGAGGAAGTGGAAGGTGGCTTCAGGATTTCACTGTGACCTGTTGTCAGGTGATCTGCTGGTAGGAGGAGACATGAAAAAAAAAAGTTGAGTAAAATGTCCTTATAAAGACAAAATCTATTTCTTTCCTGCCTGGTGATTTGCCACTGCAGTTACTTCCTGCCTTGTGACCACACAGCCTGCTTGACAGGGCTGCTCTGCAGATCTGAAGGACTGGCCTTTCTGACCACACAGCAGTGCTACTGAGGACAGCGTCCCGGCAAGGTAAAGTTGCTTCTTGTCCCTTTGCTTGTTGGAAGTGTTTGGGACACAGTTGGGGCTCTGCTGCTGGGGGCTGGGGGAATTCGCCTTGAAAGGCGTGAGCACCTGTCCTATGAGCACTGTGGGTCTTTCCTCCCACTAACGGGGACCTGAAGCCACCTGGGGTGGCTGGGTGTATGTGTGTTGGGGAGGCGGGGTTCTTGCCAAGTTCTCTGCAGTTATCAGCCCCCCCCCAAAAAAAAGTAGTTACTTTTTCCCCATCTTTAAAGCCAAGCCATGTTTTGATACCTACCAATTGCTCTATTTCAGGAAGGCTATTTACTCTGATTTGGTCAACTTTAAAATGTTTTCGGGGAAAGTGCATATTGATCATTTGGACTGTGCTGCTCGGTATACTAATGGGGGTGTTTAATTTTAGCGTCTGTGGTTGTTTTTCTTTAAAAACACACACACACACAAACTTCCTTATAGTCACATAGTGGATATGTTAACATCTTAGGTAGTGCATTACCAGATGTGGGGCTGGTTATGCGAGTGATTTTTGACAATGGAGTTTTTAATGCTTATGCTTTCTACTTACATAGGATGAAAGGTCTTCTCTCCTTCACCTCATCTCTAAAAACAAAGGCAGTTTGTGGGTTGGCTTGTGCTACTTTTTGTAGGGCTGTCTCTTGAAGATGCCTCATCTGAACACGGTTGGGTTTGTGTCTACAGTGTGTGGAGAGCTAGCTAACGGCAACAAATGTGGTTACCTCTGAGTGCTTATTTTCCTGTTTGTTAAGGCTGAAACGAATGCCCAGTTAAATGCTGGAGGAAAGCCTCCTGTCTACAGAGGAAAGTCTTTTAAATTGCTGAAGCCTTGAAGTTTTGTAGCACCTCTCAGCTTTTATTAAATTATCGCTTTCAGATGATACACATAAGCTGTCCAGCACACATGCTGAAACCTAGTGTTTCTGACTGTCAAACTATTCCAGCGGGGCAACTTAAAAACAAGAACAGAGCCAAAAGGCAAAACTCTCCACTGGGGGAAAAAAAAAGTGGTGGCTTGTTGACACACATTTTGATGTCAAATTTAAAAATTTATCATAAATGTTTGTGTTGCCAAATTTAAATGGAATTCACCATTTCTCTATAAATGTGAATTTCCAGAATTTGACCATTAATCATTGCTTGCAGTGCTCACCTGGCTAGTTTCAAAGTAGAAACAAAAACAAAACCCCAAAACAGCAGAAACGCAGCAGGAGAGAGGCGTAAGGCCCAGAAAATGCTGAAAAACAACAACAACAAATCTTCAAATAAATTTTAATCAGATCGTAATGGGAGCGAAATAAAGATATGAAAGGATGTCAATATCCCAGATGTCCCCCTTCTATCTGGGAAGGAATGAAAATGAGTAAGGCAGAGTTAACGCCAACCACGTTTGGATTGCTGAAGCATCCACCTGCCGCGCAACCAAAACACAGTTTCTTACTCAGGCAGCATGAGGGAGGGCGCTTCTGGGGCCTAAATGCCGGCCAGGGTACTGCAGTGGTGGTTGGCAGTGGGTGCTCGTGAAGACATTTCATTAGCAGTCTCGGCCCTGTAGAAGCGTTTATCTCCTTCGTATGTTATACTTTGCAACAATCAGTTAAGTTGGGGGAAAAAAAATCGAGGGTTTTAACTTGAACGATGCTTGTACCTTGGAACCTTTTGGAGAAGGATGGCCAGTGAGTAACATTTCATCCTAACGTGTGCGTTTGAATTGGAGCAGGAAGAGGACCTTTGCAGGTCCTCCACGCTGCGCACGTTTAGTCCCGCATAATTTAGGACGGTGTAGGGACTCCTGTGTAAGTCGTTGCGTTGTATGGACTAGGGGGTGGCAAGAAGGAAAGTGCCAGTGTGTACTCTGTACGCATCCAACTCTTTCAGAGGATGCTTCGTTTGAACATGGTTGGGTTTGTGTCTACAGGGTGCGTGCGGAGAGCTAGCTAACGGCAACAAACGTGGTTACTGTTAAGTGCCTAGCTTGTGCAGCCACATGATTTCTTGGAATCCTCTCAAGTGCCTTGAGCTATCAGGAGTGGGCTTAGGTGTTGAAGTTACTGCTGCAAGGTCTTATAATAGTCAGGGTGGGGCGGGAGGTGGCCCCGGTTTCAGGTGCTGGCGGCAAGGCCTGCCTTGCGCCAAGCATGCTGGGAGGAGCTTTCATCATTGAAGCAGATCAGAGAGCCTGACGCAGTTTGTGTGGGGCGTGGGGGGGGGGGGAGAAAGAGAGAGAGAGACAGAGACAGAGAATTTGCAAGACACCCAAAAGGAGTTGGGTTTTCATAACTAGATCCCTTGGCAGATTTCATGTAACGTCGGGATGATGCATTAACAGTTTTACTAAGAATTTTTGTACCCTCACGAATTTGCCGCAGCCCACTTCCTCAGCCTTATTTCATGCCACTTCCTTCTACTTGAACCTCTCCCCTCCCCCGGCCTGTCTTGCCTACCCACATTCTGGGCGCACTAGACCGCAAGCCACCAGAAAGTTCCATGCCGTTTCACTCCTTTTCACTCTATTTCTTTAATGGTTTTCTCTATAACTCTTCTGAGTTCCACCCGCCCCCAAGGGCCACTTGGGAACACAGGTCCTCCACAGAAAGCCTCCCTGTCGGTTGCTTCCTCCACTAACTGCTAGGCCTGGAGCTTACCTAATGCTTTGCCTTAGGGCCAGTATGGTAATGATTGTATCTTAATTGTTCTTTTCTGTCCTGTCACACTCACAGACTGGAGTTCCCTCTCTGTCTCTCCTCCCACGTAAAGTTGCTGAAGATACTGATTGAGATGAGCATTTGTCACATGGATATTTTATGAATTTGTTGGGTAACGTGAAAGTCTCTGATTTCACTTCCTGGTTTAGTAGCGCGGGGAGTTTTTGTGGCGACTGTGATGGAGGAAGGTGCAGAAGTAATTACTGTGCTGCAGCTACTGTCCTGCATCTTTCCCAAGACTCTGTTCTTCATTTTTGCCTCTCAGCATCAAACGGACATTAACTTCAAGAAGTGCAAGAAGTTATACAATGACCTTAGCCTTCAGAAATAAGTGACAAGTGTGCATTATTTTATTTTAAATACAGTTACAGACATACTAACTAGATAATCCTTATACAAGCTATATTCCCAAAGATAGGCCTTTGTTTATGACAGTGAACACGAGGACACGAGCCGGGAACTTTACTCAATCACTCTGTATTGTTCTTAGAAAATTCTAAAGTCACCTTTCCTTTTTTACCTAAAGAAGGCAGGCCCCTCTCCCACATACAGGGCAGGTGGCAATCAAATCTCAAAATAAAGCTAAATGGGCTGAAATTAAGAAATTTCCTTGTTTAGCTCGTGTTTGAGAAGACCTAAAAGTTTTTAAGTTCAGGTTATAATGTCATTGGACTTTATGACTCATGACAGGTGTTCTAGCAGAATAACATTGTTCAGATTAATTTAAATTTCTCCCCAGGATTTTTTGGGAGTTTGGGGGCAGTGGTTGGTTCCCAGTTCACAGATATCCGGTGAAATGACATTATTCAGTTTGTATACTGAACAATGCGAAAATAAAAACTGAAGCTAGAGCCCATCGAAATCTATAGCTAATCTGTCAGCCGACTTGGGTTTCAGTGTCAGTTTTGCTAAATGACAGTGCACTCTGACCTCAAAACACTGATGGCTTTTCTGACGTGGTAAGTAGTTACATCCCGACTAGATATCCATCTCCTAGGGGAATCTTGCTCCAGCTGCTGAAGCCATGGCACTTCCAGATGGCGGCTCCCTGTTGTTTCCCTTCCTTCTGACTCAACTTCCTGTCTTCACCGCTCACTCTTCCTGTTGTTTCAGTTTGTCAATTTCCATCATTGCATGTCTTCCCATCAGTTGCCTAATAGCTCCATCTTGTAAGAGATTGCAAGCACAGGAGGGAGTGGGGAGGGGCGGTGAGGAGGAATTTCAGTTATCACTCTAATAATAACAGCTAAGGCGCCCCCGCCTACTCAGAACTGGGCCTTTCTCTGAGGGCCTTAGGCCTAAGAAAGCATTTGGTCAACAATGTAATCCCATGAAGTGAACACTGGCATTATCTTCGTGTTTGACAGCAGGTTTGCTCACTCGTCTATTCCGTTTGATCTTCTGTGGTTGAATGAGTTCTGTATCAACTGTCGGATTCCAGAGAAGGTCCTAGAACACAACAAACTATACTGCGGACGAGTGCCTAAGGTCTAAAGTTGAGCTCAGGCGGTTGTAAGCTCGCCTGAAGGAGTGCAGTCATGGTGCGATTGCTTTGATTGGCAGCTGTTCCGTTGTCATCCCCACCCTCATCATCACCATGTGCTCTGTCCTGGTAATGTGAGTGTAATTGGTATTTTACAGTGGACAGGCCATACAACATGATCTTTTCCTTTGAAAACGTGGAAAAGTTCTCAGTCTTAGGAGTTGAGAATGACTTCACATTTTCTCATGGGCTGTGACAGACAAACATGAATAAATGAAGTAACTTAATTTGTACACTATACCTGTACCTATAATTGCTAAATATAAGTGTTCTAAAGACTGTTTACAAATGGAGGATTGTTTTAACTGTGAGTGGAAGAACAGAAGTTGAAAGGGGCCCACTAATTGAGTTAGAATACATTTTCCTCAGTATCAGAGACTGCTGTATGTCAGTCCCACTTACAAGCTGCACAAAGGCCATTTCTCAAATATGGTCAGCCCCCGCCATCCCCCGGAAGAAAGCGCTAAGATGTTAAATTGAGGAAGCAACAAAGCCATGGCTCTGTGGTTGCAGTATTGATTCTTAGTTTAGTTTAGTGCAAGTTACATGGACACCTTTTTGACTCCCACACACATAACACACTGGTAGCTGAATTTGTGTGGATCTCGGCCATTTTATTCATCCACGGTAGGAAGCCGAGGCGCCAGATTCTGGTACTGGGTTAGTGAAGCACATGAATTGCAGTCTCCCAAATCATTGGTTTTCGTTTCTTCTCTACTTACCCT